TTATTTGAGTATGAGTTTTTTCCTCCCATTCGTGTCAAAATTTTGGCGAAAATCTATTGCCTTTTGCAAAGTAATTTACCTAAAAAAAGAGACCTATTTTTGGTATTTAACTAGTCACTGAGTAGTAAAATGTCTAAAAGTGGTGTTTATCCAAGTTTCAGTCGCAAATGCTGGGTTAGAAGGTTTGATGTTTTCATCAAATGTAAACGTTGTGTCACGCTGGGAATAAAGCTATGAGAAAATATTAGGTTCCAATCAAGAGAGGACAAGAAAATTGTGAATCCGATGAAGTAGTAAGAATAAAATGTTTTTTATTCTCATTAGGACCATGTTCACTACCTTAAATAGTTAATTAGTTCATTGACTGACAGACTCAGATAGTGGAATCAAGTGTTTGTTTGTTTGTAATTATGCACAAAGCTACACAATGGGCTATCTGTGCTCTTCCCACTATGGGTATCGAAACCCGGTTTCTAGCGTTATAAATCCGCAGAAATGCCGCTGTGCCACTGGGGGGGGGGGCAGGAATCAAGTGCCTCCTGTGGTTTTCTCCGTATCTTACAATGTAGTCAGAGGGTGAATCATAACTCATCAGATACCATCACCTGTATTCAGTCTACAGTTTGCGTTGTAATGCACCACTTGTATACATTTACAGTTTGCATGTGTAACTATGGTATTCATTTAGAGTTTGCATGTATAACTATGGTATACATTTACAGTTTGCATGTGTAACTATGGTATACATTTACAGTTTACTTCATGATGGAAGCGACACTCAACATAAAAGTAACAAATACACGAAATCAAGATAAAAGTAGTAAATATTCATTTTAAAATATTTCCTCTATTTTTCTAGACTAGAAGAGTAATTATTGAAGGTAACTGAAACAATAACTTTTGTTAGCGAATATTCATTTGGACCTTTAAATTAATATCGTTTCATGACAGAATCTCATAAGTGCGTATAAGTCGATTAGTAGAAATAACTAAGTTTAGTTACTTTTCACACTATGAACATTATATTTTCTTATATAATTACTAGCTCCAAACATTATTATTAGCATTAACTATGTGTCTTTAAGCAGGGGCGGTTTTTAATTTTTCAAGGGCCTCCAGTAATAATACAGATGTAAGTTCATGCTGAAAACACCTTGTAGTTTAAAAAATATATAATCTTACAAGGCCAGTTTCACTTAATACCAGTTTGTACTTGCGTGAGGTTTCTTACCTCAGAATTTGATTTAACTTCATGCCAAATGCTTAGGAACCCTGCCGTGCAGCGGTACGTCTATGAACTTATAACGCTAAAATCCGGGGTTCAATTCCCCGCGGTGGATACAGCAGATAGCCCAACAGGGCTTTGCTCTAAAAAAAATAACCACAACCCTGCGGTGTAAAAACTAGGGTGTGTGTATGTTATGTGTAGTAGTAATGAGCACAACACGATTTATAATACAACTATGGCTCACAAATGATGATAAAACTAATGACTGACAGCTAGTAGAAGTAAAAAAAAATAACCACAACCCTGCGGTGTAAAAACTAGGGTGTGTGTATGTTATGTGTAGTAGTAATGAGCACAACACGATTTATAATACAACTATGGCTCACAAATGATGATAAAACTAATGACTGACAGCTAGTAGAAGTAAAAAAGAAAATGTTAGGTATTAGAACCACTTTCAAGCGGTTTGGCTGATTGAATACAAATTGGAAAGTGGTTAGAGAGACTAATGAACCAGACTTAAATTTATTTGGCACCAAAATATCTCCCTCTTCCTCACCACTCATAAATTCTGGGTTCTTTGCGGCAGGTGGAGAATTATGGGTATCACAAAACGGCTCTGTCGCCAATAGTTTTCCTTTATACTATGCTGTCATTAGAATATAGGATTAAACTTTCCTTTATTCAAATAAATATATATTTATATATAATAACATATATGTGGAGTTTCTAATACTTAATATTCATTATGCATTAATTGCTCATTCTTCTATTTCATTTCATCACTCGAAACTGGTATATTATCTGCTTTATAGAGTGTTTTATATATTCCCTTTAAAAATTAATAGCCACAGTGAATAACAGTTTATTAGGAAGAAATGATACTTTCTTTCTCTTATAAGTTTACTTAAGGAGCCATTCTATACAAAATGTCGTCTTCAACATCTCAAACAAATATTTCTAATTATGTCCACTTCTCAAGTCGCCACAGAACATGGAGAGCAGTTAGACGACTGCAGAGTAGCTGAAAATGTCGAGCTGGAAGTGGGTGACTGTCTGATGGAAAGGCATACGTCACGTCCCTATACATCATTAAGAATTGTGTTTTGAATGCTATGTATTAAAAGAGAACTAAGAACTTACATTCTGCAGGTGGCGTGGCGTTGGTTCTGGTTTCATTTTGATTGATATTAACTCTCGTTCTCATTACTCACGTATTGTCGGTGCTCATCCTGAATAGGTTATTATTTCACAAATTTTCTAGTATCTCATTTTCAAAGAACACACTTTGGACCAACCAGTGGTAAAGGTTTTTCGTCTTCTTTACCCATCAGACACACCGATTCAGCTGGGAAACATTTTGGCTGAGGCAGGGGAGCCCCGCTGAGAGTAACAACGTTGAAGAGCGATGACTAAGAAAGGCCTGAGGAAACTATAAGAAGTCTAATTTTGAAATATTTCAACCACGATGTTGCTGATTACTTCTAAACTAAGAGATGAGACATGTCACAGGTAAATTTTAAACAGTTCAATCTTCACAGCCCACAATGTAGCTGCGGTATGGCGTGTCACGTGTGACATGTAAAGGGTCACTGTCGAGCAGCTAGAAGTTGTGACATGTAAAGGGTCATTGTGTAGCAGCTATAAGGTGTGACATGTAAAGGGTCATTGTATAGCAGCTAGAAGGTGTGACATGTGAAGGGTCATAGTGTAGCAGCTAGAAGGTGTGACATGTGAAGGGTCATTGTGTAGCAGCTATAAGATGTGATATGTAAAGGGTCATTGTGTAGCAGCTAGAAGATGTGACATATAAAGAAACATTGTGTAGCAGCTATAAGGTGTGACATGTAAAGGGTCATTGTGTAGCAGCTATAAGGTGTGAAATGTAAAAGGTCATTGTGTAGCAGCCAGAAGGTGTGACATGTGAAGGGTCATTGTGTAGCAGCTATAAGGTGTGACATGTAAAGGGTCATTGTGTGGCAGCTAGAAGATGTGACATATAAAGAAACATTGTGTAGCAGCTATAAGGTGTGACATGTAAAGGGTCATTGTGTAACAGCTATAAGGTGTGAAATGTAAAAGGTTAATTGTGTAGCAGCTAGAAAGTGTGGCATGTGAAGGACAAAAGTGTAGCAGCTCATGGCTTGATGTGCTATGATTTGTGTTTCAAGAAGACACATTTCACTCTAGCCTTTTTAATTTTTGAGTTATAATTCATTTTCTTGCAAAATCTATATCCATATAATATATTAATCCTTAACTTCTTTTGCCAAGTATATCATGAAGACATTTAATCTAGTTGTGATACTGTTATTCTTCTTATCCCTTTAAGAGTGTACTATAGATTACTTCTTTCGTGTTTAACGACTATCTAAATTGAGAATCAAATCCTACTTCTATATCAATTTAATATAAACATTTTTGGGAGATCCTCATACAGCTGTTAACGTGTGTTTATAATACAAAACAGGCTTTAACCAAAATAAAACTTTGCACAACAACAAAAAAGTCACCAGATCACAGTCACCTCCAAAAGCCAGAACACATCTTATACCCCACATTATAACCTGTGTCATGGGGAATTTATTTGGGTTCTGCAGCGTTTTTTTGTTAAGATTTATTTTGTATCATAAATATGTTCTATTTCATCATAGGTTTGGCGCTGCTATTTATAAAGTAGTCCTTCCTTTTTGATGTAAATATTAACTGTTTAGATAGATAGATAAATGGATATATTAATATCCCAATGTCATTTTCTTATTGTTATTGTGTATTTTAACTAAGAAATTATTATCTAAGTCTTATTAAGTTTTTCATGGTATTCTATTCATATCTTTCTGTTAATTTTCTATAGAATATCTTGTCGTGTTAATAAAGCACAGTTATGTATGCTTTATTAAACTCAGTTTCATGGTATTAGGTATCACATTAGCTCTAACAATCTCATATACAATATTGTAGTGAAGTCTTATCACGGGTGACTATGACGAAGAATGAAATACTAGTTCAAACTCTCAAATTATATTACGAATTACTCATGGCTCAGCTGGTTGTTTTCTTCTGAATCTTTTCTAATTAACAACTTGTTGTCCATATCTTTAATGTCCATGTAATTATATACACAGTTTTCCCTGCGTTTCATTATATTATAAACTTAAATCTATACTCTTTAACAACACATGTAGAGTTACACAAAGGCTATATGTGCAGTTAGCCAACAACACCCACCACCAACTTTTGGGCCACTCTTGTGTGAGATTTGACCGTCGCTCGTACATTCTAGCTCCCAGTGCCACAACGGTATGTCTGTGGACTTACAACGCTAGAAATCGGGTTTTGATACCCGTGGTGGGCAGAGTACAGATAGCCCATTGACTGCTTTGTGCTTAACTTGAACCAGACCAAGCTTACCACGGCCCCAAAGTTTGAAAGGCAGACCATCAACACTTAAAATCACAGTTTGCTAGCGACTAGTCCACGCTTGGCAACTAAGTTTATAAATATTTGGTTTGTATTTATGACTCTTGATATTTTCTTAACGATATATTAACTCTCAACTTCTGCCAACTTTGTATCTAGTATTTTTCGTTATGAATTAAATTGTATTATCAATAATATATTATTTTGTAATACGTATTAATGAACATTGAGCAATTTCAGACTAGTTGGATACATAGGGTCAAGAATGTTTTTTTTTGTTATTTTTAGCACAAAACTAACCAATAGGCTATCTTTGTTCTGTCCACTACGGAGAATCGAACTCTGGATTTTAGCGTTTTAATCTGTCAACATACTGCCGATCCAATTAGAGACGTTCAAGAAAGAGCGTTTGAAAATGTAACGTAAATTTCTTGTTCTCGGAATATATCAATATAACGTATTTTTCATACGATTTTCAGTAAACTTTTATTTTTTATACAAGGAAGCTATCAGGTATATACCAAATGTAGAGGTGATTTCCTTTTACAAAATGTGAGTATCTCTTATCACTAATCGCTATTCTTAAGTGAAGAACCATGAAGGAAAACTTTGATTTTCTTCCACGTCTTGCCCGGTACCTGCAGCCTACAACTTAATGTTGGAGGTGTTAAACTGTTAAAAAGCAGTGAGTTAGTTTACAAGTTGTATACAGTGTATTCATAGTGTATAATTTAATTACCTCTTCAGGTAAAATTAAGATTTTTGTAATGATTGAGTCAATAGAGCTGACTCGTGACTGACTCATCGATGACGCCTTCATCTTTTTTGATATTTAAAAGAATCCCTTTCCCGAACGTGTCGTCACAAATAAGAGTTTCAAAACAGTTCTTATATTATTAAAAAACACAGTTCATCTGTTTTAACCAGTTTCCAATGATCCGATGGCTTGTAGTTACCAGGATATTGTGTTCATAAGTCTCCAAATATCGATTCTCAAAAGCTCAATGTTCCAGACAGAACTCTTTCATACATAGAGGAAACACGAACTATGAGATGCAGACATAAACTCTTCGAGACTGGAAACATAATCTCCAGTTCTGTTACAAGGTAGTCTAAAAATGGTATATATACCACAGCACGGTAATACGCTTATGACTCAGGTGCTTCCATGTTTGTCCCATGTGTCTGCCTTCCTGCTTGGCGTGCAATGTTTATGGTTATATCATTTCCATTTGCAAGTCTGGTTGAGTTTTCGAAAATCTCACTAAACTTTACTTCTTTTCTTTTTAAGAAGTGTGAGTTGTTTTGAACACTCCGCAAAACTAGGGGTGCTTCTCAGCTAGAGATTACAGTTGACAAGGTAGCGGAAGTAAAATGGAGAAAACAGAAATAACTGTTTCCACTAACATTATAAATTCAAATAGTTGTGCCGAATAGAGGAAATGTAACAGGCGACTGAGAATCTACATTCAAAAAACAAAAATAGCATAACAGCTGAAGGTATTTCCTGAAAGATGGGAACAGATTCAAGGCAATTTATATATCCGGTTTCTCAGAATGATTTTAGTCAATATGTCTGTTTCTGGCAAACTTCTATATGTAATCTATCAAAGACTTAGTTTAATTTACAGACCTTTTTCACATTGAAATACACATTAAAACCATTCTAAACACGAGTTGAATATTACAAAGTTTGGGTCTCCCGGTGGAACAGCGATAGGCTTACGGACTTACAACGCTAAAATACGGGGTTCGATTCCCAGCGGTGGATACAGCAGTTAGCCCAATTTGGCTTTGTTCTAAAACAAAACAAACAAACACGAGGTTTGGAGAGGACGAGGTAACGTATGCGATTAGCACAATGAATACAAAAATCAACAGTTACCTTTCCTCCTTGAACCCCCAAACATTTTCCTGACACGTTGGCACATTCATCGTACCCTGACCTCCAAAGGTCTCTAGAAGGTTGTTGAGTCACAAAAGAGTGTCTAATGTTTTCCGTGAAATGTTTTCTCCCGTTCTAACCATTACACTATCAAAACACAGAAAGTTTTCAATTCGTCCACCTGTTAACTGTTCACATGTCGAAACATATGTTGTGACAGCTGTTAGAATACTATAATAACCCATAGTTTTCACCTTCTTTGTTATATATTTTGTGATAGTAGCTCTACTTACAATTTTATCTTTGCGAGTATTTTTGGTAATCGCATTCTTTGAAGACGTGTTTAAACGCTTTTCTAGCACCTCATCACCACGTTGTAATAGGCTCTGAAATACTTATGTTTTTACTAATTCATACATATACTTTTGACATTTATTTTTTTTTGTAAGCCTAATTCCGTGCTTGACATTTCAGCAACCCTGTTCAATTGGTCATTAAGTTCAGATAATATCATCAACACAGTAATGACTTCCTTGATGTCTGGGAATATACGTCAACCACAAGTAAATATTTAGTCAGGTTCTGCTGAAACCTTGTGCTCCTCAGTAGCACAGCAGTATGTCTGCGGACTTACACCGCTAGAAACCGGGTTTCGATACCCGTGGTGAGCAGAGCACAGATAGCCCATTGTGTAGCTTTGTGCTGAATTACAAACAAACACAAATTAAACCTTTTAGGTTGTCTCTACTTGCAAGTTGAACTATATACTGATTAATCTTTCTAGGAAGGAACAGTTGGCTGGTGGAGTCCACAAAACTGTTAATGCCTTGTACTTAACATCATCTTCTAGATGCTTACTTGTTTTTACAAAATTTTCAATACCAAACTTTCCCATCACTCTACTATCACTTAAGTTGAATTTTTAGACACAATATCTGGTGCGCGTTCACAACGGGGATCATTCTTTTGCAAAAAATAGATGATGTAGCAGTTCAGTATGAAATGTTTAGGTTAGTTATTTTTTGAACATTGTTGAAATACTTAACTGAAAGCACAAGTGTCACTAACCACTGTTGTTTGATTTTTTTTAATTCATTGTTTACTGTTAAGGTCCTTTATTCTGTATTTTGATAATGAATTTACTAAAGCTAATTTTATTTTCTTAGAAATTTCACACACATAAGAGCAATTCAGTCAGTGATTACTCATGAAGCATACTATCTCCCGACTTACATACCCTCTTTTTTTCGAGAACCAGTAGAACTGCTAAAGCTTCAGGGGCTTATTACTTACATTTACATACATCCAAACTTCTAGATATAATGAAGGCACCTGTGGAGTAATTCACTGATTGTCAGTTTGGTCATTAAGTGCCAAGCCCAAACCATTGGTCCAATGTCTCGTGTGGATGTCCGTAAGTTTAGATTTTCCCTCTATTATAGCTCTCCGCATCGCACGTGCCAAGCAAGAAAGAACAAGCAACAAACTAGAGACAAGAAAACGACAAATAAATGCAGATTTAACTGGCCAATGGCGACTGATTATGATTTCTTCTAGTTGGTATGTTTTTATGATTTCTATAGCAGCCTATAGCAATAACTCTCCCTTCCCTTCGCCGTTGCTTTCACTCTTCCTTGAAGTTGGGTTTTTATGGAGAATAAAGTTGCAATAAATACTAATCAAAGTCGCATCTTGTTGTATTTTTACCTGATGTATTGATATTTTTAAAACAAGTTAATTTCTTATTAATTATTAAGATGAATACTGCCTTAACCATAAGTTGTTATCTTTACTGCATATCAGGAATTAAAAAAGGAAACTAATATTAACTAACAAAATAACTCGCATATTATTTTTCCTCAAATGATGGAAAAATTGAAAACATAACAACTTGGCTTTAGCTCAATGTAATAAATTTATTGTTTTTTGGGAGAAAACTGAATTACGTGAAATTTTTTTTCACATTTATTATGGATCCTACGATCACTGTCGAAGAACTAATAATTGATTATTTTCTTCTTCTGGTAATAAATGCTTTGAAAATTTTTTCCACTCATAAATTTTATTTTTGTATTTTAAATAGTATGGCATTTTAGTCAAACGTCTTTCAATCAAACTCACACAATTTCACTTAATTAAAAAACAATTAATACGTGTTCTATTAATACTGGGAATTGACATTGCTAGGCGTGAAAATGATTTGAGAAAGTGTATGTAAATTATTTATCCGATCAATACAAAGATGACTGAATAGAGGAGACTTTAGATATGACAAGAACATACGTCCAATTTTGTCTAATCATTAGGGTAATTAAGATTCTGTGTTAAAAGCTGGTATCAAGTAACTACTATCTATACACACGAGCTGTATGTATACTACATAAACTCTTAAGTATTGCGTTAATGGTTACAAATTAAGATTTAATTACTTGAAATCGACGAAGCTTATTCTTCATGTACCTTCAGTCCGGTTTATTAACAACGGCTGAACCTAGCATAAATGACCCATAGCTTTACTAAGTTGGCAAATATAGAAACATTTACTTAGTTTTGACTTTCCACCTTTATATCATTCCACATATGATGACAGCAAAGATATTACTATACACTTTAGCCCCTTGCTATCAACAGAAGGTGTGGTCCTTCCACACGCAAAGAAAAAATGATGTAAATTAAGACAATACGCTTGGAAATAATCATGTTTTCTATATTATGGTTTCAGATGTGTTGTCTAAAATGTGGATAATTAGGAAGTTATAATGAAGTGGCTGTATGCACTACAAAAGCTGAATTGCTAAGGATTTTGAGCGACAGTTCTATTGCTTCAAATTTCTACCATTTTCGACACTTATAAATCAGCCAAACTAAAAATATTATGCGAGGCGTTTTCTCAATTCACTTATTACACGTTGTCAGCTAAAGTGCGAGTTATAACACGTGGTAAAACTGGATCAAGTTAGATACAAGCGCCTACCTTGGTTTAGAAACCTCCTTAAGAAGGGATGCAAGACTGATTGTCTCTATTAGTTTAGAAAACTCTGTAAGAAGAGATGCAAGACTAGCTAAGCACACTTTAGTTGATGGTGATTTTTCTGTATTTATCATCTTAGAAGCGGGTTTAGAAGCAATTTCCTCCAGAAATGATAGAATCCGATTTCTTGTAGAACTTCCTGTATGTTTACACGTGAAGTGACTTGGACGACTGTTGTAAATATCAAGTACGAAAGAGTGAGCAGACAAATGATTATGATAATCAAATAGAAGTGATCTTGATGCGTTGTAGGATTTCATGGAGAAAAACCGAGATTTTGGGGGACATTGTTCGATATCTAAATATTAGTTTTGTAACACTATCGTGTAATTCCAGATAAAATGAAAGTATTCTTAACTGAAGAGTAGTTTAAAGTTAAATTTTTTTTTTTTTACCAGCAGTATAATTTTGAATGAATATTTCCTTAGTTAGGGGGTTCATTTACAGAAGAGTAATTTGAAATGAAAATTTTGTTACTAGAAAAGTAAAAAAAAAGTCGGA